GTCCCGCAGCCGCCCGCACCCGGGGCGAAGCATGGCGGTCGCCAAGGTAAGCCCTCAGTTCCCTGCGAGGGGCCCGGGCGTTCACCTGCTGGGCTGGAAAGGGCGCGGGGTTGCTGTTCCACCTTGCTCCTGGGCAGCACAGGCGTGCAGTGCCGGGAGCGAGGCCCGGGGCTCGGGGCCGGACCTGGCAGCAGAAACTTTGCCGGCTGGACCCTCCCACTTGGCCCGAGAGGGGAGTCGGCGCCTGGCGGACTGAGCCAAGGCCCACGAGGAGGAGCGGGCGCGATTGCGGTGGGCCCGGGGCACGGGAGGTCTCGGGTCAGCAGGTCCCCCGGCCACGCCAGCGCGCTCCTGACCCCAGTTATTATTGACCCGAGCTGCTTCTAGGGGGCACGGGCCTGAAGCCTGATCCTATTAGGTTTCAAAGGCTCCGCCTCCCCGCGGGTGGGGAAGTCACCTTGACTTCCGTTTTGGAGACTGCCAGGGAGAGTTGGCCAGCGCGCCTGTGCTAAAAACTCCAGAGGACCTCCCCCCACCACCCCCACCTTTCTCATCCTTCTCCGCGCATCTGACAACACTTACATACCGGCCACAGCGTTTGAGAGGCTTCTTTTCAGAAATGACAGAACAGATTGTCCTGGGAGCTTGTAACTCCTGTGAAGTCCTACTTAAAAGGAATTCTGCGTAATGTGACTCATTCACTAACCCAGAGGAAAGGCAGCTCCGACAGCTTGACCTTTCCTCTTTCACCATTTTTTGAAACCTGGACACCATTTCAGTCTCTTTGGACTCCACTTCAACTTTTCTGGCAGAATACCATATTTAGTCCCAATCACTTGACTCATTGGAATTTATTGCTTTTAATTTTTAAGTTCACCAAGGCAGCCCTTTAATCAAGTCTATACAACTTCTTAGCTCATTTTAAGTGCAGTGAACTTAAATGTACCTAACATTTTAAACATTTGTCCTTAATCAAAACTCTGTGATAACCCTCAAGAGGAAAACATGGCCAACACATCATATTCCTGTTTATTCAAGCAAACTAATCACATTTGCAATGGAAATTGTAAGCAGACAAATACATTTAAATGCTGTTCTGTGACTGAAGTTTCTCCAGGCTCCCCAAATGTGCAGGCTTCTCCCTGTTCCTAGACTATCTGGCCTAAGTGGCCTTTCTCTTTTCTGTAATTACTCTTGAGTTCTCAGCCTAGGGAGTGTGCTCTGGGTGTGCATGTGCAAATATATATATACACACACACACACACATATGTAACTTTAAAACTGTTGTAGGTAGATTCTCTGAGGATCACTGGAATTCATTTTTGGAACCTACATTAGCCCTTTCAAACATAATAGCCCTTGACCTTTTCTTTGCATTAAATTTGTTTGCAATCAGAGTAAAAGTCTTGGTATGAATTAGTTCTGTAAAGATAACTTCTTCCAGGAGAGTAGCTGGGAGTAGATACCCACAGTTGACTGTCATCTTTATATCTGTAGATGAATTAAATAATTTTACTTAATTTGGAGGTAAAGTAATCAAGGAGCCTAAACTGAGGAGTATGCACATAAATGGAGTTATAAGACTGATGAACTAGTGTAAAGTAGAATCAGTGACATGGAAGCAGGTTTAACTTTTTGGTTTTATTTTTATTAAACTGTCACATCATATCAGTAAGTGCAGTTGAATTTCAGCCAGCCAGTGAGAGTCAGGGAAAATGAAACATTTCATTTTCACTCTTTGGGAACTTGTGTTTTTGGTTATTTATTCATTTAATCTTGCCTCTTTTTAGGATTCCTGATGGCTCACGTCCTATATGCATATATTTACAGTCCAAAAAGACATAACAAAATCAAGGCAGAGTAGATGAGGAAAACAGGATAAAGGGAAAGCAAGATGAAGCTAAGATTAAGCATAGTGGAAAATAAGGATGTATGTATTTGCTGGAGGTGACTGAATTTTCTAGCAGCCATAGCAAAAAGGAAGTGATCAGTGAGGTCAGTTACTTGGAAGAGAGGTCTCCTTGTTCTGCTACATGAGGGCAATTTCTCTCCGTGTCCTTTTATGTGCAGTGAGCAGACTGCATTCAAAACTGCTCATGACCACAGATTTATGTTTGTGGGTTCCATAAAGCCATTTCTTGTAACGTCTGTCGTTGTAGCTCAAGGGCAGTGCAGTAAATGTAGTCTTAAAAGGTCCCCAGATGAGCTGTGATGGTCCACCTTAGTCCTAGGTCCTTGTTTATTTGTCTTTGAACTCTTCTTATGGGGTGATTCTGTCAGTGAGGTCGTGCTGGGCAGCCTGAGTTAAAGACCATGCTATTTGCTATTTTGCCCTGTTGAACACAGAGCCGTAGGCTTAACAGTCTTATCTGGCGGTAGGAATGACATCGTCTGTCTAACTGAGGATCCTGACTAGGAGAGAAGCCCACCTCAGCGGAGTGTCTGAGGAATTGGGTCCAGAATCTGAAACCCAACAGTTGTAGGTGAATTCCTCTAGTCACTATGGTGAATTATTTGAATATTTAAACAGATTTGATATTTTCTGGATGAATTTAGCCACACTTAGCAACTACTTGATCTCTTGACCATTTATTCTTTTTTTGTCTTTTATGTATTCAAATGTAACTGACTATTCCTGTCCCTCTTCCTTTAAATAGTATAAATAGGAAGGCTGAGAATCTGGTCTTTGGTCTGCTTTTATTTTAATTTCTGCATGGAGATTACTGATGCAAGAGGTATTTGTTTTTTCCTGAAAGAACATTGATCTAAAACAGTATTTTGAGATGAACTCAAAAAGCTTCCATTCTCCTGCTGCCTACTTTTGTAGGCATGATCCTTATGTGTTCCCTTGTTAAATGGTACATGATAGGTGTTACGCCTGTACTATTTGTGTTGTTTTGAGTGTTTCTTTAAAAAATTTCCAAACATTGTCCTACATGTATTAAAATGAAAATGAGTTTTTAAAATTATATTTTATATCTCTACAAAAAATGCATTTTTAGAAAGGAGTAATAGAGAAGTTATCCTTGTCTTCCCCCCTCCCCCCTTTGGTTGTAGCTGGCATTCCCTCTTTGTCATTGGTTGAGTTTATACATTAAGAAGGATGAAATTAAACTAGGCAGACCTGTTCAAAGTTAGAGAATGCTCCCTTGAGTTCAGACATGAGAAATGTTCAGGTGTAAACAGGACATGGATGAATAACTTGAGTGAAATCAGCTCAGAACTAAAAGGAGAAAATTTGGAGACAAACTAAATCATTAATAATAGTGAAGATTTGGCCTGCAGGGCTGGCACGCTTAGTATTGCTGTTCCATTCTTGGCTTGAGTTGTTGCCATGATCATTGATTCATTTAGAATTGTGTGTATTGCGTTCTTCCAAATGCGACTATGCTAAAGATACAAAGATGACCTGGACCTTTGGGCCTTCAAGAAGACCACAGCCATACCACAGGCTAAATCCTTTCCTGGAAGTGCCCCAACTAGGTTTAATGCCATCACAAGGACTAGGAGGACATCAGGGAAGGAGCCAGTTTCTGAGGGAGTGAGGGGAGGGAATGTCTCAAGGGTAGTGCTATTTCAGCAGGAGTGGATGGGGGAAGAGGAGGACCATTCCAGTGATAGGAAACAGCAAATGAAGGGCAGAGAAGTGCAGCACCTGCTGCATTTAAGGGATTGCAGGCAATAAAATAAATAGCGTGGCTAACACTTACTGAGTGTTTACTAGATGTGAGTTTCAGTTCTAAATGTTTTTCATTATTAACTAACTCACTTAATGCCTCTAACGGTCCTGTGAGTTATGTACCATCATTTCTGGTTTATAGATGAAGACTGAGATGCCAAGAGGTGTGTAAGTGGCCTAGGATCTGATAATTAAAAGGTGAAGGTGCTGGGGTTCAAATGAGCTGGTCTGGATCCAGTCTGTGCTCCATACCTTCTCCACCGTACTGTCTGCCTAGTAGTTTAGCACGGTGCAGAGGAGAGTTATGGCGGTGGGGGGAGATGGCTTGAGAGGGGAAACTAGAGGCCTCTCTTAAAGACTTATATTTAAGTCTTGTAACTGTAAACTAGACTTTTTTTTGGACTCACACAGTGCTTACTGTGTGCCAGACATTCTCCCAAGTGCCTTACAAGTAACTCCGTTTTCATAATACCAAGAAGTAGCTGCGGTCTATTTTTGTCCTCGCTTTACAGGTGGGAAAACTGAGGTCCGGAGAGGTCAAGTAATTTCCTCAGGGTTGTACAGAGAATAAGCAGTGCAGCCTGAATTTGAACCCTGTCAGTCTGTTCTCTTCACCCCTGCTCTGCCTTTCTCGGCCTTAAAAAGGACTCCGTTTACAGAGGTACAGGTGAGAATTCACATGCCATCAATTATGGGCACGTGTATTTCCTGATCATCCCAGTTCAGTAGTTTGTACCTGTAGAATGCTTTTGCGCTGAGTGTATGCGTCGTTGTTAAGTGGCTTTCAAACTGTAGTGCACAGGCCAGAAGTTGTCGTATGCCTGTTCTTTTTTAAACAGCTTTATTGAGATAGATATAGTTCATAGGTCAGACAGTTCACTCATTTAAAGAGTACAAGTCAGTGGTGTTCATATTTAAGTTAAAGGTTTTGTATTTCAAGTTTAAGGTTTTCTCTCCCTATGGTTTAAAAACTGCTAGGTATTTGGTATCATAATAAAGCCGACCAGTTTTTGTGCTGGACAGGAAGGAAAGAAAGTTTGAATTGTTTTGATGCCATCATGATGATGGTCAGTTCCCGTGGTTTCCCTGAGATTTGGATTTAGAGTTTGTTAAACTGATGAAGCTGGATAGGCCTTGGGGTTTACATAACACAGTGGTCCTCATTCCTTCCCTCATCGTCCTGTCCCTTTTTACCAGCTGAAGCAGTGGAGTCCTAGAAAAAACTGTAATTGGTCCAAGTTCCCGTGAAACCCCTTTGCCTTATTGTAGGCCAGGGGTTCTCAGCACACTGTAGTCCTCCAGACAGGTGTAAAACGGCTGATGCCTGGGTCTCCTCCAGAGGTTCTGATTTAATTGGACTTGGCTGT